ATTATTCATTTTATTGAACTATTCGTTTTATTCAATATCAAACTATTCGAATTATTCGTTCTATTCAAATTACATATTATTATGAATTTGAGTATTCGAATTACATTGAAAGTTAATTTGAATAAAATGAATAACGAATAATTCGAATAAAACAAATAAAATAAAATTCAATAATTAAATAAAACAAATTGAACAAAACAAATGAAACAAATAATTCGGATAAAATGAACGAACGAATAATTTGAACAAAACAAGTAATTCGAATAATTTGAATAAAACGAATAAACGAATAATAATAAACGAATAGTTTGAATAAAACAAATGATTCGAATAGTACAATGAAACGAATAACGATAATTCGAACAAAACGAATAATTCAAATAAAATGTGTAATTCGATTAAAACGAACAATTCGAATAAGAATTTATATTACGAATAGAAATTACAAAGTTACCAAAAAGTCACCAAATCTAGCACATAGCCAATAATGTTCAAACTAAACTAAAATCACCATAAATAAACTGCACCACTTGAGGCGTCCCTGCAAAGCAATATAATAAAACTAAAAGGATCCCTAACTAACAATTAAAGATTGGCCAAACCATTAATTATCAAGAATAATTGATTAAGTCAAGGACTATTTTTATTACTAAAGTGTTAGAATATTATTATATTATTGAAAGGTTATTTATTGATTAATTTCTTTTCACGAAATTATTTTTTCAAAGGGGAAAATATAATAACAATAATAAATTTACATATATTCATTGAAATATCAGCTTTAATTTGTAAGTGCTAACTCAAATGTTGATGATAATTTGTCTTCCTCTTAACTAGGAAGACCAACTAAAAATTCTAAAGGCCATTTTCTACTAAATATTTGTACCGTCCCAAAAAGTTTCAATATCAAATATTGCAACTCGTTTTAGCAAATTACTGTATTGGATGTGACATGCATGAAGACTTGTCAAAAACATTGATGGTCAAAATAATGAATTAGGACTTGGGAAATTATACTATATAGTAGGAAACCATTCATCTTCATGTATTGGAGAAGGGATAATGAGTTTAGCTCATTCTTTTTGGTTTGAGAAGGACATATTTGTATTGCATCAATTCTATTCGATCAATTAACACCAATAAATGGCATAGAAGATTTCAATGAACCTTTCTTTAAAATCAACACAGCTTTAATAGAGAACACAGGTTTCTGTATTATAATCAGCCGAATAAATATATGCGTGTGAATTATGTATTTGTATATAGTAGGCTGGAAACTATTTTAAAGTGATTCTTTAATAAGAATTCCATGAAATAAATAAATAATAGTGAAGAAATCCTGTATGTAATTTGTATCTTTTACGCATTTTTATAGAGAATAGTCCTAATAATCATTTTTAAATACTATCAAAGATGTGAAAATATTATGGTATCTTTCCTACCACTTTTCTATATTTTCTTTAGTGGTATATATATACTTTTAGTATTTTCTAGCCAAGAATTCTTAATGTTTATAAAGCTATTATTTTTATTTTTTTTGATTCATAATTCATTATTTATTCTATATAATGGTAGACTTTGTCATTATCTGGGGCAAAAAAAATACAACTGCAGGGTTAAAATCATTAATAACCAGAATCCTGAATCGGATTTTAATTGTAAAAGTTTGAACTCGTATATATTCCACGTCTGGTGATGAAAACTGTTTTCTCGTGGAACATTTTAATCTACCATTCATTTATATATATTTCCTAAATTAAAAATACAATGTTGTCATGGAACGGGCGCGGTATAATTTAAAAATTTAGAGTATTAAAATATCAGCAAATATGTTACCATATGAGCATTTCAATGTTTAATTTGAAATCATTTAATCGTCGCTTTTAACCACAAAGAGAATAAATAAAATCTTTGTTCACCATAGCAATGGTAATATGGTAATGGTAAATTTGGGAGTACAGATATTTTTCTGGAATATATTTTTAGAGTGAAACGTCCACCCCACATGCATGTAATTTATTAATATGGTAATGGTAATATGCGAAATTTTTCTGTGGATCTTGCTGATAGAGTTTTATACAAATGATGATGAAACATAATAAATAATAATAATACAACTCTTCTTACCTGGTTCGGTAATAATAAATTATGATGCTAATACTAATGTACTTTGTCGATCAACTAACTATTCCACTATTTCATTGACATGATAATCCTTTTGTGGTCTATATATAATAATAAAAAAGAATTGAAAAGAACTTTCAATTATTTATTTTAAAAAAACATTGTTTACAAATGTCGATCAAATTCTTTACTTGTCAAATAAAACAATCTTTAAAAAATAAACAATATGAAAAATTTTTATATAAATAATCTAAAAAATAAAAAAAATAAAAAAAAAATATAATACCAGAATTTATTTTTTCTCAATTTTTTGGCTGGACCAATTAAAATATTTTAATTTTTTTTAAAAAATGTTTAATAAAAAAAAACCCTCACCAATTCGCAATTCAGATAACAATTTATTAAATGCTTCTTCAAGCTCTTTTGCACCATTTCCAAATTCACCTAGCTTACAAAATGAAGAGGGTTTCAGATATAGAACAACAAACAGTTCACCTAGAAATTTCGGAAATGATAATATTTCATCTGATACTGCACCTCTTCCTTCACCTACTTCACCAACTTCGACAGTTTATGATAAAGAAAAAATCAAGTCGTCCTATGTTAGTTATCATAATAAATTAACATTGGCATGGGTGACATATCCTATAATTTCATTATTGTTTATTATTTTACGTATTGCCAACGTGATGAGTTCAATCCAACCCCTAGTCGATCAAATTAAAAATAAAATATTGTCATCTTGTAACGCGCTGGAATTATCGACCTCGACACTTGTAAATCTACCAAATTTAATGATCACTGAATATAACAAAATAAATGCTGATGGCATCAATGCAATTGTTAGTAGATTATTACAAATATTAGATTTAATAATATTTGCGTTAGAACAAATTTGTATTTGGATAATTATTACATACAAAAGCACCTATAGATGTCTACTGGCGTTAGCAATCAATTCATCAAGCAGCTTCCTAACCGAAGCAACTACAAAATTGCAAACTTTCGCCACAACAAATATAGACTCGATCAAATCAAGCATCAACACTGAAATTCAAAATTATAATGATATAATTAATGGTATAAAAGACAAAGTTAAATTTGTCGATATACCAAACATACAAATAAATTCTTTGACTCAACTTGACACTTTGACACAATTTCCAGCAACAAACACTCTTATCCCTGGGGTTGATTTATTAAAGAGCAATTCAGACAACGCCTTGTCAGTTACTTTTGATGGCATAGAACAACAATTGATAAATGCAACATCAATTCCATTCGAGTTACTAAGATCCGAGATAAAAAATTCAAACATCGTTATCAATCAAACATTATTCCCTCAAGCATCCCTATTTGCTAATCAGGACATAACCTTTTGTAAAGATAGTTTGGATCTTAGCATTTTAGATAATATAGCAAATGATTTAATTAAAATTTCCTATATTGGAATTGCTCTAATAGTATTGATCATTATAGTGCTAATAATGATCAATGCTGGAGTGATTAGATATAAACATAAAAAAATCGAATCAAATATTAATGTAATATCAAATAATTATTCATCATCATCATTAACACATAATAATAGTGAAAAAAACAATGACAGTAGTGGTAAACTCGATCGATCAAAGATTTTTGAAATAGTTGGATTGGTTAAAAGTCCTCTATGGACCAGATTATCCTTGAGAATTTCAAATTTCTTTAAAAGTGTAGAAAACAAGAACCTTGTTAAATGGTTCTTCTATTACATCTCGCACAAACCTGCAGTAATTTGTCTGATAATCGGGATATCAGGCGTGATAGCAATTTATTCACAATTGGCACTTTTAAATTTAATTAGACATAATTACCAAGCATCAATCACCACCACAATTGATCAATTTTCAAACAACGTGGTCAACCTAATAAATTCTAATCTGGAATCAAAATCCAAACAATTCTCGAATCAGAGTAACACTGAAATTATTGATATTGAAACCACCCTTAACAATAATTTATTTAGTTGGTCGAACTCAACAATTACTACTTTAAACAATACATTGAATGCAGCGGTGGATGCTACAACAGGATTTATAAATGATGTATTTAAAGATGTTCCATTAATAAATAGTCTGGTATTAGACTTGGTCAATTGTATAATATTTGTTAAGATCAGAGGTATAGAAACGGGATTGAAATTCATCAAGGACAATTCTGTTATTACTTTACCACGTGTAAATGACACAATATTGATGATCGATAGTGACAGTGTTAAAGGAATTGTTGATAAAAACACAAATAAGATTTTAGGTGCAGATAGTGCCACAAGTGATGATGGTGGTGAAGGAATCAATAAATTGTTTAACAGTTATGAAAAAGGTTTAAAGAGTGAATTAATAGTATATTGGACATTCATAGCAGTATATTTTGTAGTGATTATTATGGGAATAGCACACGTGATCTATTATAAATATAATAATCAAAAAATCAGAAAAAGAAATTATATCAAGGATATTAAATTAAATCATTTCCCTAATAATAATAATAGTAGTAGCAATAATAATAATTATAATTATAACAGTGATAGTAGCGATAACAACAATAATGAAAAAATTACTCCAAAGGATTTAAATAATAACAGTGACAATGATGGTAATGGCCATTTGGCAAAGAAGGGAAAAAGAAAACCACCACCACCACCACTACTTCCAAAACCAATTTTAGTTAAAAAATAATCCATCAATCATTTTCATTGAGTGTGTGTATATATTTAATTGTATATATAAAAATTGTTTTATTAGCTTGAAAAATGGCATTTCTATAAATAATAATTAAATAATATAATAATTATATATAATAATAATAATAAATTATTAATAATAAATAATATTAAAAAATAAATAAATAGATTACATAAAGATTTCTATTTTCTATTCAACATCTTCTTCCATACAGTATGCTAATGACCCAATTTCATTTTGGCCTTGACTTTGTTAATTCGATTTGTTCCTTCTATCAAATCATCTGAATGATCGATTTCAGCTGTTAATTGAATAAAAGTTGTTGAGACGATCAAGCTCTTCTTCTAAATGCACTACGCGTCTTTTCAGGACGAATATAATAATAATCTTTATCTGATTATTTAATAACTTTGATTGTTAAAATTCAATTTTGTTGCACTAAATTAATTAATCAATCGAATAAGAAGACTTTGATTGAATGAAACTTTTTATAGTAATCATTTATTATTATATGAATTTTTGGTTTAATTAAAGAAAAAAATTTTTTTTTTAAAATGAATCTTTGTTTTTATAACTCGTCCTACCCGAAGTTTTTCTTTTTTAATGTTAAAGTTTGTTATATTTTACCATTTTTAAAAATCTAAATTCACGCATGTGAAATCAAGTTAGCTCTTTACTATCATCATTATTATTATTTATTATTGTTTATTATTATTATTATTATTATTATTATTATTCTTATGATTGTGTAATTAATATCTTGCTTGCAATAAAATTTTTTTTCGCTAATTTTCATTTTATTAAAAATGCCCAAATTAAAATCAATCACGTCATTGGAAAATTTTAATAGCTTTATCAATCATAATAAAATTCATGATCTGGAAATTAAAGTTGGAGCAGGCGGTGATGTCAAAATTTTTAAAACCAATTCCGCGATTTTAAAAGCTAGATCTTCATACTTTACAGCTGCTTTATCAAATAAGTGGGCAAAGAAATCTGAAGATGGTATTATTTTATTCGAAAAAGAAAACATTTGTCCAAAAATATTCAATGTTCTATTAATGTGAGATATAGATTAATTCCATATCATTTGATTTACTAATAAATTGATTGTGTTAATAATGTTCTTCCTTCGTTTTTTTTTTTTTTCAAAAGATACTGCTACGACACCACAATTATCAACGTTAATAATCTGGATCCATGCGAAATTTCAAAACTACTCGAAGCATGTGATGAATTGTGTTTCAATGAATTGACCGAGGATTTACAAAATCATTTAATCACCAATAGTAAAGAATGGGTTCAACATAATTTAAATTTTTTCCATGAATTTTTATCAAAATTCCAATCGTTCAGCCTGCTTCACGACTACTTTAACGAATTAATCGATGATAATCCTGAATTATTAATAAAATCGAGCGATTTCAAAGATGTTGAAGGAGAAGTGCTTATATCTTTATTAGAAAGAAATGACTTGGAATTGGAAGAGATTGAGATTTGGGACAATATTATTCGATGGGGAATTAGACAAGCAGAGAATTTGGAAGAAATCCCTATTTCAGAGTGGAGCGTTGATGATTTTATCAAGTTAAAAACCATATTGGATGATATCATCCCGTTGATAAGATTCGATGAAATTAGCTCGACTGATTTTTATTATAAAATTACACCATTTAAAAGAATATTTAATAAAGAAATGTATAACGAACTTCTTGAACATCACCTCAGCGACAGATGGCAACCAAGGCTACTGCTTCAGAACGGTCCAAGAAAAGCAAATGGAAATTTGTTAAATCCTCAAATGAAGCATTTAATCTCTGGCTGGATTGATCAAGATGATCTTCCACATAAATTTAAATTAATTTTTCAAGGAACTCGAGAGGAATTTTCTCAGTCGGCTTTTCAGGAAAATTGTTATGATATAAAGCAAACTGTAGTTGTCATGAAAATAAAAGAAACCGGCGAATTGGTTGGTGGTTATAATCCGCTTTGTTGGAATAAAAAAGAAAAGTCTCTCAATGAATGTTATTGGATTGAAACAAATCAAAGTTTTCTTTTTAAGATCGATGAAGGTCAAATAAAAGATTCAATATTAAGTAGAGTTACAATCTCTAGTCATGCGATATATCATAATGACAATTCTAATATTAATAGTATAGTATTTCGTGAAATATGCATAAATTTTTACGATTTTTTATCATACAAAAACATCAAGAATGAACCTTGTTTTTATTATTATTTTAATGAATCTTTCCCAGTCTATGAAAATGATTTAAATCTCATATGCAAGGATATTGATAGGGTCTATGTGTTGGAGGAATTGGAAGTTTACAAATTAGTAAAAAAAATAAATTAATAATTTTATGTATTATTATTATTATTATTATTATTATTATTATTATTATTATTGTTATTATTATTAATTATTATTAATATCTTCTTCATAATCATCCTCTTCTTCATTTTATTCGCTCTCCATCCATCCATCATCATTCTCTCATTTTCCACATTAACCCATTCTTGGATTGGTTTTTCGTTCGTAGAAGTTTTTTATAGTGGAGGCAAGCAATGATTCATTCTTTTTTTCTCTCACAAATTTCAGTTATCATCGCCATTTTATTAAACGATAAATTCGAGTTTTCAGTCTTTTTTTATCAATAATTAATCTATAATTTATTTTAAAGTCAAACAAGATTGCCTATATGATTTGCTAATCTTTTACTTGATAATAAAAATGGCTTCGAACCAAAAGGGAACATGACCGAAATTGGAAACTATTTGAGGAAGAGCGTGACCAAAGGATATACTCACGAATGGCGCTCATTGGTTAAAATTTTGTGACAACCATATATGAAATATCACACAAGACAAATGGAAGGTTTTACAGCAAAAACTGGTCATGAATAAAAAAGATTTTTTTTTGAGAAAAATTTAAGTTTTTAGTTGAAACTCTACCATTTTTCGAAACTCCGAATTTCTATACCGTTTCCTATTACTATTGTTTTCGAAATTCCGAAACAATTTCGAAACTCCGAAAATATCCTATTGTTTTCGAAACTCCAAATTATTTCGGGATTCCTATACTATTTTCGAAATCATGAATATAAAATTCATGAATTTCAAACACAAGTCAATTTTCAATTTATTTATTTTATAAAAATACTATTCACATAAAACATCACCCAAGTAGTGAATTTTTTTCTATTACAACGTTGAGATATCTTTTTTAAAAAAATGTTATAAAGCACTGAAACGGGTCGGGCTAACCCAAAACCTGAAAACTTTCTGGACTGTACTATACTTGAAGTCAAAATTATTAAATTGTAATTAAAAATCCCCAAAAATTTGCATTGCACCATCGATCATAATTTTATACAAATGGCACAAGATGCAATTCATGATGTAAGTCTCAATTAATGGTGCAACCATGATTCATTAGCTAATAAAACCTTTTTAGCTATGAAGCATTGATGTTACATTAGAGATTAAAAAATTAAAAAGTTTTCATGCAATAAATAAAGAGTTTTATGTGTGGTTAAAGTTTGAATTAATTCATATGTTGCATATTCACTTATTGGAAAATGTTGGGATTGAGTTACATATTGTACAGGGTGTTGACATTTTTCTGATACAATATCACAAACTTCACTGATTGTTGAGGTTGCTTTAATTAGACCCAATCTTATTAACCACACAAACTGTGGATAAAATTAGCAAAAAATTCATGATTTTTGGTTTTTTAATATGGTATTTGGAGATCAAATATCTCTCTTACTCTACATAGAGGTAGACTAGTTGATCAAATATGCATATTTTTAAGTTTGTGCCTATTATATATAGAAATAAATTATTGAATTAGAATAATAATATAATTATTTAGCTAAAATATATAAGCATATACAACTAGTGATGGGCGGGTTTGTAACCCCAGAATTTTATTTGGAAACATTTTAAAAAGTCACAAGAAAGAAAAAATAACAAGCAGCATTATATAGCTTCTTGTAATTATTGTCAACATGCTTTTGACGGACAACCTCTTTGCATGATTAAACATTTACTTCTTGTAATAGTGCACCAAATGAATTGAAAATATTGTTAAAAAATAAAACTAAAGATTTTGATAATGTTCATAGAAAAAAATAAACAAAAAGTCATGGAAGGATTCATTGATAAATGTTCAATTAAAGAAAAAGAAGAACTAGACAATTATTTATCTCTAGCAATTTTTGGTAGTGGTCTCCCCTTATCAATTGTAGAAAATCAGTATTTTATTAATTTTTGTAAAAAACTACATCTGCTTATGAATTACCATCCAGAAAAACACTCACTATCAAATTGTTAAATGATAAATATAATGAAATTACTGAAAATAATAATAATCAAATTGAAAAATTGAAATATGTCTGTATAACAAGTGATGGCTGGACAAACAACCATAACGAATCAATTATTAATTTCATGGTTACTTTACCAAAACCACTATTTTGGAAGGCATTAGAAACCGAATCATCACACACTGCTGAATATATCTCAGAAAAATTAGAAGTAATTAGTGAAGTTGGCCAAGATAAAGTTGTTGCAGTTTTGACTGATAATGCAGCCAACATGAAAAGGGCTCATAAGATTCTTAATAATAAATTTAACAAAATTATTTTTATAGGTATTTTTTTTTATAAATGTTTAAATTAACATGATTATTAGAATTACTAATTTTTAGTTAATTTCAGGTTGCTTTGCACATGGAGTGAATCTTATTATTAAAAAAATTATAGATTTACCTTGGGCAAAAGAAATTATAGATTCTGTCAAAGATATTGTTAAATTTTTTAAGAAACATCATAACAAAGGGTCATGTTTAAATAGAATCCAAATTGAAAAAATTGGTAAAAGAATACAATTGCAATTACCTGGTAATAAATGTTGGGGCTCTCATTATTTCTATTTAAATTCAATAATTGCAAGTAAAAAATCTTTGCAAGTAATTATCATTTATATTACATATTTATGAAAGGCTATTTCATTCTAATGTTTTATTTAATAATTTGATTTAAATAAATTATACAGGTTGTTGTTTTTGAAAATGCTGTACAGTGTGGATCATCTATACTCAAAAGTTAAAATTTTTGAAATATTATGTGATCCACACATTGGATTTTAAAAAA